TTGGTTGGATTTTATTAACATCAGCAGAAATAGAGCCTGATATACATGGGTCAGTTCTGGATGTGATTAACAGGAAAATCCCAACACCAGAACTACGTGACATCGCTGGTGTCTCACCAGATGGGATGAATGAGCAAATTTCTCCTCACACTTGGAGCAGGCATATGGTATCTCCCCAGTGTAAACTCGCTGGTGTGACTGAAGATGAGATAATTGTGTGAACTTCTTCTGACACACAGAGCAGATGAATGGCTTCTCTCCAGTGTGAGTGCATTGATGTAGAGCGAGTTCAGATGAATGCTTAAACCCAGTCTCACAGTGAGAGCACTTGAATGGTCTGTCATCTGTATGAGCACTTTGATGGCGTGTCAGTTCCCTGGAACTTTTACAGCACTTCCCAGTGTTTGCACATTTAAAAGGTCTCTCATTAGTATGAACCTGCTTGTGTCTCAGCAGGTTGGACAAATCAGTAAAGCCCTTCTCACAAACAGAGCAGTGAACGGCTTCTCCCCACTGTGAACTCGCTGGTTTTGCAGCAAGTGCGCTGACTGAGTGAAGCCCTTCTCACACAGAGCACAGGAACAACGTCTCCCCAGTGTAACAGCGCTAATGAGTTTCCAGCTCACAGGGGAAATTAAATGCCCTCCCCACAGTCCCCACATTTACACAGCTTCTCCCTGCTGTGACTGCACTTGTGTTTAGACAGGCCAGAAGATTGGCTGAAGCCTCGACCACAAACAGAACATGTGTACAGTTTCTCCCCACTCAGAGGTGTTTTCTTTTTCCATGGTCAAAATCCAATGATGTTCTGGTTACTATAAATTGAGTAATTTGTCAAATCTTGATGAGATGTTTGGCTCAAGTTTCCTAATTGCGAATCCTCACCCTTGAATATGCTGTGAAATTGATTTAAATAGAAGCAGTGAGTGAGAACTCACAAAAATATAAAGGCAGTATGTGAAATTGAGCTGAATGAAACTGGTGATTTGTGGGAATAATCATTCCTGCACCTATTTGTCATGCCATGTTCAGTTCTCCCAGCAACCTCATGTGTCTTTCCATGTCTAGTATCCAGCAGCAATTATCATTCAAATCCCATATTAAACACTCCGGTTGGTTAAACTGAATTATAATCAGAAAACCTGCTGATGAAAAAATGAAGCAAGGCTTGGGGCTGAGTCTCTGAAAGCCTTGTAAAAAGCCAATCCAACAGCGCTTCTTCACCCTGAAATGTAAATATAACTTGATACTTCTCCAAAAATCTGTTGAATGTGTTAATTGTATAGATACAGAAGCTATTTCCTCTCGTGGGGAATTGAGAACAAAGGGACATTATTTGGAGATAATGTGAAATCTTCATACAATTCTTCATAGGATTGTAAAAATTCAGAATGAAAACAGAACATGTTTTAAAAACTCAGAAGTTCAGGCAATATGTTTGCAGAAAGAAATAGAGTTAATGTTTCAGGTATATGAATTTTCATCAGGACTGGGAAACGTAAGAAATGTAATTGGATTTGAGTAAGATTTGGGTTAGGCGAGTACAAAAAGATGGTCCGTGACAAGGGAGAAGACAGGAAAGATTAAATGACAGAAAGGCCACAGACAATGGAGTTGGGGCTGGAAAAGAAACAAAGTAACAAAAGATGTGCCTGGAGCAGGTGTGCAGCTCACAAAGAAACAAACTGAAACAAGAGAAATGAAAACAAAATAGGGGACAGAGTTCACAGTCTGAAAATGTTGGTCTCCATGGTGAGTCCAGAAAGCTTTAAAGTGCTGAATTGAAAGATGAGGTGCTTTCTTGAAGCTTATGTGTAACTTCACTGGAAGAGTGCAGTGAGTGCGGCACAGAAATATCAGTGTGAGAGCAAAGTGGAGAATTAGAAATGTAAAATCCCTGGTCATGGCAGGTTGTGGATACTGAGAGCCAATTGAACATTTTAAAATGGAGATGTTAGATTTTTGTTAAGAGCTTAACAAAGGTAAAGGTATATGAAATAAAGGTCAGTCCTGATTGAATTGAATGTTTGAGGAGACTTAAGGGACTAAATGGCCTCCTTCTGTTCCAAATGTTCCTCTGATATATTCAGAAAGTCCTCAGGGTATTGGAAAGCTATTGACAAAGAATTCAAAGGGAACTCAATATCTTTTTTTCCTTTATTCATTCACAGGATGTGGGAGTAGCTTTTAGGCAGTATTTATTGCCCATCCCAGTTGCCGAAAGGGCAGTTGAGAGTTAACCACATTGCTGTGGTTCTGGAGTCACAAATAGGCCAGACCAGGTCAGGGTGGCGGTTTGCTAAAAGACGTTAGTGAACCAGATGGGTTTTTCTGACAATTGGCAAAGGATTCATGGTCATCACTAAATTCTTAATTCCAGGTTTTTTTTGTTGAATTCAAATTCCACCATCTGCATTGGCATGATTCAAACCCAGAACGTTATCTTGGCCTCTGGATTAACAGTCCACCAATAATACTATGAGACCATTGCCTCCCTGTTTGAAAAGTGGGTATCAAACAACACTTAACATAGAAGCAAAATACTGTGGATGCTGGATTAAGTTTAATCAGTAAGTGTTGGAGAAACTCAGCTGCTCCGGCAGTCTCTGTGGCGCGAGAAATGGAATTAACATTTCAAGTCCAGCATAACTCTTCAGAACTTCAGACCAGTTAACATAGAGTTGCTTTAGTGGCTCAGGACCATCCATGAAGAAGCTGCCAATCTGTCCTCTCCCCTGTCCATTCCTCAGAGTTTTGATTAGAATATTGGAATGGTTACAATGCAACAGAGGCCATTCAGCCCAACGTGTCCATGCCAATGATTGTCTTACCCCCTGCTTTTGCTCTATAGCCTTGTATAATTTTCTTTTTTGAAACATCTGCAAAGCGATCACCTCCTTCCTAAAATGTGGTTCCCTGTATTGAACACAACGCTCCGTTCGAGGGTGATCTGTGTCTGATACAGGTTCATTATAACTTCCTTGATTCCTTGTTATTCTTCAGGAGTTGGGCATCACCCCTTCTCCTGCCTGATAGCGACACGACCATCTTTGAAAGAGCTGTCAGTTAGTCCTACTTTCCTCTGACTCTTTATTTAAAATAGGAGATCTGATTCACTGCTGAAAGTTATTGTTGAATTTGCTTCTACTCCTCTTCAGGCAGGGCATTACAGATCACAATAACTGCCTGAGTAAAATCTCCCTCACTCCTACGTTGCTGAAAATTATTTAATGTGATGTGTTCAATTGTTGAATATCTGCTAAAAGCATTTCCTGGGTGGATTTCAGGGAACATGCTCCTGCCATCTTTGAGAAACTGAGGACACAACACAGTGTGTTTGAAACAAAGCTGATTTATTTGTTGTTTTAAAATAACGACTTCCAGTCACATCACAGTGCCATTAACCTCAGAAAGAAAACAAAACCCAATTCTCTGAATTAATCTGTTTCAGTTATGAATGTGATTAACTGCAGCAACAACAGCAGAATCCAATTTCCGTCATCACTTATGAACTCATTGGTGTATCAGTGGGTAAGGATGTCTAAGGGAATCCCTTTTCAGACACAGAGCAGGTGAATGCGCTCTCCCCAGTGTAAACTGACTGGTTTCTCAGCAGGCTTTGTGTAGTTGCGCACACAGCAACTGATTAGCTTATTCCTCATTGCGAGTGTGTTTGTAGCTCAGCAGATCACTGTTCTTAACACACTTCACACAGCCAGAACATTGAAAATGTCTTTGATCGATGTGAACAAGTTGGTGCGAAGTGAAGCAGGTTAAACAAGTGATTCCTTCCCCAATACAAACTTATTGGTGTCTCAGCAGAGTTCTTGACTTAGCGAAACTCTTTGCATATATGAACACGCTGATGCTAAATAAGGGGCTGAGCAACAAATGTTGTCTTCCTGTGGAGAGCAATCCAACAGTCATTCCTCACTCTGAAATTACAGTTCAGCATATCTCTGGTGCTTTAAAATATTCTAAGTATGAGATGAGCTTTAAAGTATTCTTTTTAATTTGTGTGAATCCGTTCATAGATTTACAGAAAATTTACAGCGCAGGAAGGGACCACTTCTCATTGTGTCTGCACTGGCCAAAAAACAAACATCCATCCAACCTCACCCACTTTCTGACATTGTGTCTGTAGCCCTGCAGGTTCTAGCACTCGAGCTGCAGATCCAGACACCTTTTAAATGTGTTCAGGGTTTCTACCTCCACTCCCCTTTCAGATAGTGACTTCCAGACCCTGACTACAGATGCCGATAAATCTGCTGAAATTTTCCAGCAATTTCTGCTTTTGTTTCGCCAATTATCTGGCTTATCTCAAAGAGAAGTGCTTGCACTAAGAAACTGCTGAGGTCCTGGAAGAGAAGGATCCTGTGATGAAATACTTTGGAGAGAATATATCACTTTCAACAGTTCAAGAAGACAGCTCACCACTACCTTCTCAAGAACAATTAGGGATGAGCAATCAGTGTTGGTCAGTGATGAAGGAGTGAAATAAAACAGCTGCTAATAGTCAAAGACAATGTGTTGTTTGTGATAGCAGCCCATGTGATGACAAGGCCCAGTGTATGGGGATGGGGTAAGGACATGGGGAAAGGTACTCCAGCCCAAAAAGGTAGCGTGGCTGAGTGGTCTAAGGTGCTGGATTTAAGTTCCAGTCTCTATTGAGTTGTGGATTTGTATCCCACCGCTAGCAATAATCGCTTGTGGTGTACCCTTGTAGAAGCTGGGCAATGTCAATGTTTTTTAGCACAGTGGTTAGCACTGCTGCCTCACAGTGCCAGGGAGCTGGGTTCGATTCCACCCTCGGGTGATTGTCTGTGTGGAGTTTGCGCATTCTCCCTGCGTCTGCGTGGGTTTCCTCCGGGTGCTCCGGTTTCCTCCCACATTCCAAAGACGTGCAGGCAAGGTGGATTGGCCATGATAAATTGCCTGTAGTGTCAGAGATGTGTAGATTAGGTGGGTCATGGTGGATGGGTCTGGGTGGGATGCTCTGTGGTTCGGTGTGGACTTGTTGGGCCGATGGACCTGTTTCCACACTGTAGGGATTCACTGAAAAAAGGAGACTATTTGTCCTTTAGTCTGGGTCTAACTGAAATGCTGAGCAGTCTGAAAGGGGCTGAATGACCTATTCCAGTTTTTCTGTACATTCTCCCCAGACATCCCCCACTCACAAACTTTGCACAAGGTCTGGTTTCCTGTTGCCGTGTCTTGTCCCCAGCTCTTATGTCGTTCTGTTCATCAGTTGTGTTTGGGTTCTGGTTTATTTGGAATATAAGAACAGGAAGGGGCCAATGAATCACTCAGATCTCTTATATCAGAATCAGAATTAGCTTTGTTATCCTATGTACTCAAATGAATACAGTGAAATACTAAATTAAAGCCAAAAGAAATACAGACGCTGTCAATCAGAAACAAAAACAGAAGGTGCCGGAAAAGCTAAGCAAGTCTGGCAGCATCTGTGAAGAGAAATCAGAGTTAACATTTTGGGTCCAGTGACCCTTAAGTGTACAAGTCACCACTTACAGTGGTCCCCAAGTACAGCTTTTTCAGTTACAGTTCTTTGGAAGAATTGAGGTCAAAATACAAAGTCCAGCACTGCAGATTATTGGAATAAATTATAAAATGGAGAAAAAAGTTCAGAACAGGTCTTCCTACCCAGTTCATGCTGGCACTTAGCCTCCAGTTTGCACTGGGCTTCAACTCCAGACCATGCCTGGCTTCAGCTCAGGGTTCATGAGGCCAGGAGAATGCTCTGGAATCACCTTGAGACAGAAGTTCATGCCGAAGCCATGCTGGGCCGGCAGACCATCATAACAGTCCAAGAGGACGCCTCGTCGGGTCTGTGCTGAGGCTGAGAGTTCCGAGCCTGCAAGTCGGAGGCCGTGAGATCCAAGGCTGAGAGTTCTGAAGCCAGGAGTTCAGAAGTCGTGAGGTCCGAGGCTGGAATTTTGAAGGCTAGGAGTTCGGAGGCTGGAAGAGAGAAGAGGAGGATTTAAAAAAATACAAAAGAAAAGAAACAGAAATGAATCATTCATTGAGGGTCATATCTGATCTGTGACTCAACTCCATTTACCTGTGTATTTATTTTAATACTGGCTTTCCCAATCTGTCACAATTTGATTTAAAGAGAACTTTCATTGACATCACACCTTCTGTTAGGCAAGTGTCCCAAGATACATCTCAGAAACATAAACGTACGAATCTGACCAAATTAAATGCTGTGTCAAAGGGGATCTTAGGAGGCCTGACAAAAGCTTGGTTGAAGATATAGGTCTTTAGGTTTTGAAAAGCGGAGAGACGTGGACTGGAAGGGAGGGGAATTCGTCTTCAGCGCCAGTTTTTTAAAAAATCCATTGGTGGAATGTGGCTGTCACTTGACATGCCAGCATGTATTGCCCTCGAGAAAGTGGTAATGAGCTGCTTTCTTGATCTGCAACAGTCTGTGGAGGTGTGAGTTCATCCACAATGCTGATAGAGAGGGAGTTCTGGGTTTTTTGAGCCAGGGAGTCTGAAAGAACAGCAATATATCTCCAAGGCAGGATGGTGTGTATCATGGAGGGCAGACTGCAGCTGGTGGCGTTCCCCTGTAACTGCTGTCCTTCTCTGGTCGGAGAGGTCATGGATTTGGAAAATGCTGTTGGTGGCGCTGTGAAGTGTAGCTGCAGGAACGAAAGGAAAGGGAGGTAGCTTTGTTAGTACAGGATGGAATAAGAACAATGGCAAGAAGGTATCTTGGATTGGAAGACCATGACCACCAGATATCCTAGATTAATCTCGTCGCTTTTGCCAACATTTGGCCCATATACCTTTAATTCTTCCTGTTCATGTACCCACCCAGATGCGTTTTAAATGTTGTAATTGTACCAGCCTCCACCACTCCCTCTGGCAGCTCAATCCATACATGCATCACCGTCTGCATGAAAAACGTTGTCCCTTAGGTCCCTTTTACATCTTTGCCCTCTCACCCTAAACCTATGCTGTCTAGCTTTGGACTCCCCCACCCTGGAGAAATGATCTTGGCTATTCATCATGCCCTATTGATTGGACAAACCTCTATAAGGTCAATCCCCAGCCTCCAGCAGTGTGGGAAAATAACCCCAGCCTTTTCAGCCTCTCCCTTTCGGTCAAACCCTCCAACCCCAGCAACATCCTTGTAAATTTTTTTCTGCATCCTTTGCAGTTTAATAGCATCTTTCCTAAAACAAGGAGACCAGAATTGAACCAATAGTGGCCTAACCAACCTCCGGTACAGCCACAACAAGACATCCAATTACTACATGTAATGCACTGACTAATAAACTCAGGCATACTAAACACCTTCTTCACTACCCTGTCTACCTGCGACTCCACATTCAAGGAGCTATGAACCTGCACTCCAAGGCCTCTTTGTTCAACAACATTCTCCAGGACTTTACCATTAAGTGTGTATGATCAAGATCCCGTTGTACTCTGAGGTGACCACCTTCACTGTCCATTACACCTCCAATTTTGCTTTCATCTGCAAACTTATTAATCGTATCTCCTACATTTATGTCCAAATAATTTATGTAAATGACAAAAATCAGCGAACCCATCACCAATCCCTGCGGCACACCACTGGTCACAGGCCTCCAGTCCGAGAAACAACCTTACACCACCACCCTCTATCTCCTATCTTCAAGCCAATTTTGTATCCAGATGGTTAGCTCTCCCAATATTCCATGTGATCTAACCTTGTGAACCAGTTTACCATACGGAGCCTTGTCGAATATGTTGCTGAACTATATCTAGACAACATCCACAGTTTTGCCTTTGAGTTTTTTTTGAAGTGACAGAAAAGACTAATCACGTTAGTGAGACTCAATTTCCCACACAAAGCCACGTTGACTATCCGTAATCAATTCTTGCCTTTCCAAATACATGGAGATCCTGAGCCTCAGAATTCCCTCTAACAACTTGGCCACCACTGATTTCAGGCTCACTGGTCTGTAGTTCCCTGGCTTGTCCTTATCACCTTTCTTAAATAATGGCACCACATTAGCCACCCTCCAGTCTTGCAGCACCTCACCCATGCTATCAATGATAAAAATATCTCAGCAAGGGGTCCAGCAATCACTTCACTGGCTTCCCACACAGTTCTATGATACACCCGATTACATCCCAGGGATTTATCCACCTTTATGCATTTTAAGATGTCCAGCATTTCCTCCTCTGTAACATAGACACTTTTCAAGATATCACTGTTTATTCTTCAAGTTCTGTAGCCTCTTCACAATTAATTCTGATGCAAAATACTCATTTAGTATCTCACCCATTCCTGCAGTTCCACACATAGGCAGCCTTGTTGATCTTTAAGGGACTGTATTCTCTCCCTCTTTACTCTTTTGTCCTTAATGTCTTTGTGGAATCTCTTTCAAGTCTTCTTAACCCTGTTTGCCAAAGGTTTCTCATGTTCTCTTGTTACCTTCCTAACTTCCCTCTTGAGTGTACTTAAACTTCTGTTTTACTCCTGAAGTGATTCACTCAATCTCAGCTGTCTATCCCTACCACATGCCTCCTCCTTTTTCTTGACTAGAGGCTCAATTTCTTTAGTCATTCATCATTCCCTACATCTATCAGCCTCACACTTAAAGGTACATACTGCCTCTGGACTCTCGTTATCTTATTTTTGATGGCCTCCCACTTTGCAACCATCCCTTTACATGTGAATTATCTGTCCCAATCAATGTTTGAAATTTCTTGCCTAATATTGTCAAAATTGGTCGTCCACCAATATTGAACTTGAACTTTTAGATCAGGTCTATCCTTTTCCATACCTACTGGAAAGGATGTGATTACTGGATATTTAGAAAATAAATGTCTGATTGGACAGAAGAGACAGATTTATTAAGGGGAAGTTACGTTTGAGAAACCTGATGTGTGCTCTTTAAGGATGTCGCCAGCAGAATTAAGAAGTGGGAACCAGTGAGTGTGGAGTATTTAGACTTTCAGGAGGCTTTTGACAACATTTCACACAGAAGACTAATAGAGTGAAATTGAATTGAATTGAGAGCAATATGCTAGGATGGACTGAAGACAGGTTAATCGGCAGAATGCAGAGTCAGAATAAGTTGGTATACTGTGACCAATGGCTTACTTGCTAATGGCTTAGCTGATTCAGGAACTCTGGAGAAATCTTTACTATACAGAGTAAACAACAGAATGTGTTTTCACAACAGCTGTAAAACAGAGAGTAACAAACATTAGTACTGTGTGGATTCAAGCACTGCTTTGAAACAACTTTGTTTATTTAACCTTTCTGACAACAAAATACTTAATTTTTTTCCAAACATAACTCACTACATTATACTTGACTTTCCTTTCAAAATTATTCCAAATTCAAACTGACAACAAAAGACTCCAAGGTTTTGGTTATATACAGCCTCAGCAGTATTGTTGGGCTAACAGGTTTCATTAATGGTCAATTGTTTGTTTGGTAATAAATTAATCTATCCCATTTTATTCTGAAACAAATTAAAACTACCTCCACTGTATCCATTGGCTCTTATTTTAAATTAAAGTTAAAAGATTTAAATGCATTTTCCCTTCAAAATTCCATTGAATTTTCCACTGTGTGCTTGAACTGGCAACTTATAGCAAGTAACTTTATCAATCCCAATTTCAGAAACAATTATGTCTAGCCTCAGTGGTTTTAAATTGTGCTCTTATACTAAAGCTTCAAATGACTGCAGTCAGTTCAGGATTCACCTGTTTTCAAAGACTCCACAAGACTTCCAGCTCCCTCACTGTGTTCTTGCAATCTATTCAAAATATTTAAAAAAAACACAATTCACTGTGGCTCTGGAAGAAGTCTAGTGCATTGATCATATTCAAAGAACACAATCCACCCTACAGAAGGTGAGAGAGAAGATTTAAAACAGTCAGCACTAAGAGTGCATTCTGCTGGGCTCAGATGGGGCACGGCCCGTCACCAGGCGATACCATGGCATACTTTCAAGTATTCAGTTTAAAAAGACTATCAACAGTCATTTTACTCTCTATTGTCTATGCTAATTTATATTCTATTAAATATTTAATATTCGATTTCTAATTTATTCCAAATTCAGAGTTCAAATTGGATGTCTTCCAAAAAGATTTATCAATGTTTTGAGGCCAAGCTAAGCCTTTTTTTTAATCCCCATGCACCAGTTTAATAAAGAACAATTCTGAAAACTTACAATTAAATAGGATTTTAAAATCATGAACCTATTCCGGGGCCGGGGGGTGGGGAGGGGAAGACGAGTCCTGGAGGCAAGTCCTGGATAGAGGCCAGCCCTGTGGAGGCAGCAAGGCTGTGATTACTGAAGCCCGGTGGGCACAGATTCAGCAAGAAAGGATTATAACTTGAGTACTTCGGGATATCTTTATTATAATTCTGGACTTTTTAAACTCTGTATTCCCATGCTAGTCTTTTTTTAAAACTATTTCAATTCTGCAACAGCACATAAAGTATCTGTACCTAGGTATCCTGTACCTAAGATGGTGCCGAGAAATGACATTACAAACTTTTCACTGCACTCTTTCGAGTGCATGTGGCAATAAAGTCTATTCTATTCTTTTGGACTACTCCTAGTTTTAACATTGATTTCAGTCAAATATAAGGAATGCTTCATTGTCACTGTCATGGGAACTCTGTGTGAACACAATCCAGTTTTCACAAAGGTCTTCTTT